TCCATTAATTTTGCAAGTCATACGCTCTTATTGTAATTGTGCTTTGCTCTTTGGCTACATTTCGTCTTGATTTCACATGGATACAGTAACATGCACATACTGGTTTTTCTGTCAAATTAATTTTGTTACAGATATGGTGGTTTAACAGTGGGCAACATTCAGAAATCAATCCCAACATCTTTTGGGAGAAATCTACCACCTATGGTTCGCAAAATAGCGGTGCGCAGATCAGCTCAGGTAAAGACAAAGACGCAATGACTCTGCACTGGACAGGTACAGTATACCATACTGCTAACAGTGCATCTTACTGTGTCCAGGTTCTCTACAACAATAAAGGCTACCACAGCATGCCAACGTATCTGAATGTCCTCAACAATGCCATCCTGCGTGCCAACATGCCTCCCTCCAAGGGCAATCCTGCTGCCTACGGTAGACACGCCAGATATAGCTGCTGAATGAAGTTGTGCCAGTTTGGTTGGTTATTTTTTAACTACACAACAGATTGTTTGTTCTGTTTGTTTGCAGGAATCACAGTAACAAACCACCCGATGAATCGCACCAGTGCCAGCCTTTCTTTAGACTATTTGTAAGTGTCTGTGGCTTTACCTCATTATTTATGTGATAGATTCACATTTCTGTTCACGTAAACGATGAGTCTTCATTGTTGGAAGCTCTGGAAGAAGAGCAGACCGTCTACTAATCAGAAAGTTGGTGGTTCGATTCCTGGCTCGTCTAGTCTGCATGCCAAGAATCCTTGTTCCCCCATGCATCCAACAGAGTATGACTGAGTCAATGTTATATAGAAAGCACTTCAATAGATGAAGGACAGAAAAGGTGTTTGTGTGAATGCGGCAGGTTGTATAAAGTGCTTTGAGTGTTCAGATAGAATAGAAAAACCCCGATGTCAGAACCAGTCCATTCAGCATTCATCAAACAGAAAAGTTAGTCATAGACTTCCATAATCCTCAGCAGTAAAACACGGGGGGTCGTCACCCTTCATGGACGCTACTTTGTGAACACGATAACTCAAGAACAAGGCGACATATGATTTTCAAATTGATACCATAGGTGCATCTCCTAAAAGTCTCAGATGAGTTTGGATCCTGTTGACCTTGACCTCAAGTTCTGCTAGGAGGCGTAGGAGCAGCGCTGGCAGCTGCTGGTATTTTGTCTCTTCTCTTCATTGGAGTTGAAGTATCTGAATTTTAGGAGCAGGACCACGCCTCCAAACAAGCTCCTTTAGCTTCTTATCTATACATGCTCCCCCAGCTCTACAAGCTGTTCATTCTTGTTTTCGTGCCCCACCCTCCTTCCCCTTTTTCAATTCTTTCACTTCTCATTGGTTCATGGGGGATCTGCCGGGCCCGGGAGCCGCCACCTGTCCCCTCTGAAGCCTTCCCCAAACTGCAGCTCAGTTCATGTTTAAGCCATTCACCTTTATCTACTACAAACACTGTCAAACCTAAAATGAGGACGTGGGTCCAGCGAGTGAATCCAGCCATATGGCTGATGGCTGCTACTCCCTGAGCCTGGTTCTGCTAGGCCTCTCCTCCTGTTGAAAAGAAGTTCTCCTAAATGGGAATGCTTCTCCTGGGCTATTGTCTATTAAACCCACTTATCCATTCAGATCTACTCAGATCGACTCGGCACGGTTTTCAGGGTTTTTGGTTAGGTTGTAGTACCTGGTACCAGGTACGTGTTTAGTATCTGCTCGCCCGGGTTCCAAGCAAGCCGAGCAGGTACTAAAATGTGACATCATCAGACTGAATGCCACCGATTGGCTGGTCAGTAGCATCACTTGATGCTCATGAGAGCGTCGGTTTCTATCACATTTAACTTAGCCTACTCACAGACGAAATGCTGGTTTGGCAGCACGTAGAGGCTCCAGATGCTCCAGATGTGAAGTAACTCCAGACGTCTCACACACCACAGCTGCTCCATCACGTGACGCATACTGCTCCGACGTGCTGAGGTCACTACCTGAGTTATGTGAGGTACTGATATCAGATCATCCATCCCAGTTATAACTGTGCTTCGGGAAAACAAATAGCAGAGGAGCCACAAAGAGGCCTGAGAAGAGGACAGATACAGAGAGAGATTCCTCCTTTACTGTAAAGATTGATGCATAGCTTTAACTTCAGAGTTTTGCATAACTTTATGAATTTTTCTATCAAAAGTGCTTTGAAATGACTGTTGAGAACCAAATACTGTAAACTGAAATTGAACGAGCTCTCCTCCTTGTTTTTGTACCTGCAGGCTCCAGGGCACAGACGTAGTGATTGCCATCTTCATTATTGTAGCCATGTCCTTTGTCCCAGCCAGCTTTGTGGTTTTCCTAGTAGCAGAAAAATCCACGAAGGCCAAACACCTGCAGTTTGTCAGTGGCTGTGACCCAGTCATCTACTGGCTAGCCAACTATATCTGGGATATGGTGAGGATGTTGCAGGTGTGAACGTCTTACTGAATGCTTTAACATGTTTGCAGCTCCTGAACATGGTTTCTCCTTTTATCTGTCCTCAGCTGAACTACCTGGTGCCTGCTACCTGCTGTGTTATTATTCTGTTTGTGTTTGACCTGCCAGCCTACACCTCTCCAACAAACTTCCCTGCTGTCCTCTCCCTCTTTCTTCTCTACGGGTGAGACATCTGTCTGCACACACGATCTCTGCTCACATTGTTATGTAGTTTATTTGTATACTGACTTCCATTAAATAGACATAATATACAGTCAGTCCACTTCCACCACCTGCACTTTTCTTTGTAATTGTTTTAGCGCACAGTTCAGACGTTTGGTGCTAATGCATTATATAAAGTAACATTTATAGGGATGCTTTTATTACTCCGAACATATTATCATCACTTTGCCTTTCTCTGATATCAGCTGCACAGCTGTATTTTCAACAGCTGTAATTTTATAGCATTAGCAAACTATTTTCACAAAAAGGGACAAATATTAAAAATCACATGTTGTGGTGGTTCTGGTACAGTGGATGTCTCCAGGAGCACATTTTGTCATATTGACATGCAAACTCAACTCTAGTATCATGCTAGGTAATGTCCTGTTTAGGTGCAGTTTTCACAAAACTCTACTAATTGTCTAAATGTAAATTAAATACTAAGATCTTTTTATAAACATGAAAACATATAGCAAGTTTCTTTCTTCCCCTTTTCAGTTGGTCGATCACTCCCATAATGTATCCTGCATCCTTCTGGTTTAAGGTTCCCAGTACAGCCTATGTCTTTCTCATAGTCATCAACCTCTTCATAGGCATCACTGCAACTGTTGCAACCTTCCTTCTCCAGCTCTTTGAACACGACAAGGTCTGTTGGCTTCTTATATCTTACCTCAAACGCCAAACGCCATCACTCGTTTCCCCTTCAACAGCAAAAGTACAAATTTGGAAGAGATGGTGATCTTTGAGTTAGATCACCTGCTCCTCCACATACTGGAATAAATACTACAAAATGGAAAAGTATCTGACATGACCTTTGCTTTTTACTGTATTTCTTTCTTTTACTTCTTTTTTTCTTTCTGCAGGATTTGAAAAAAGTGAACAGTTACCTAAAGTCCTGTTTCCTCATCTTCCCCAACTACAACCTGGGTCATGGCCTGATGCAGATGGCCTACAACGAGTACATCAATGAATACTACGCTAAAATAGGTACAGTAAGCACCGAGCTGGCTAATTACAATAAAGTTAAATCTTAAACTATGATTTATTTAACAGAGATGAACCAACACCTCTTGCAAGAACCTGAAAGTTGTGCTATACATACTTAAAGATTTACAAGGGTATTCAGAACACATTCTTAGTTTGGTGCTACAGATTTTATCACGAGATTTGTTGACAAAAAAGATTTACAGTCTTGCTTTTTTGTTTTATTCATAATGATTTTAGGAGATTGAAGTGCAAAGCTGCACATTAAGTTGTTGTAATTATGTGTTTTAGGGCAGTTTGACAAGATGAAATCACCGTTTGAGTGGGATATTGTGACTCGAGGACTTGTTGCAATGACAGTCGAAGGCTTTGTTGGCTTCCTCATCACCATCCTCTGTCAGTACAACTTTCTGAGGAACCCCCCGTGAGTTTCCTATATATAGTTTTGAACTGGATGCCTACCACAGAGGATCGTATTGTGAGAGATCTGCAGTTATAGGTGGCTGAGGACTGTACTAAAAATGCACTTACAATGTAAACAAAGAGTACGTTAAAAACACAACTAACCATGAATGACTTAACAACAGGAAAAAGGGGAAAAAACCCAGAACTTATGTACTGTACCAAGCCGGCACCAAAGCAGCTTTCAGATTGATGCTTCGTATATAAGACAAATAATGTAGTAGGGTTTCCTGCTGTTACACAGCTTTAAAATATCAGTGTGGCAGGGCGTGGTCTGAGGCGCAGCTGCTTAAACAAATAAAACAAAATAACTCCCCTCTCGCCCCTGTGAGCGGTCCAGCCTTCATGCTCGGGTCCTCTACCAGAGGCCTGGGAGCTTGAGGGTCCAATCCAGTTTTATTTATAAAGCAATTTAAAATACCCAGCACAGGACCAAAGTGCTGTAAGAAAATAAGTTAACAACAATAGAATAACAGGAAACAGCAAAAATAAGTAAATAAAACGCAGGGTCCTGCGCAGTATCTTAGCTGTTCCCAGGACTGCGCTATTCTGGACAGACAGGATCTTAGCTTAGGTTTAAATTGTTAAATGTTGTCATTGTGTTACTTAAATTTGTAAGTCTTGTCGCAAGTTTTGTGAGGTGCTTTTGGGATATTTAATAGATCGGATTACATTTTTTATTTCTCTCCGATATCGATCCAGTAATTTAGGTCAGAATCGGACCAACACCGATACATAATATCGGATCGGTCCATCTAATTACACTACACTACACTAAATACACATACTTTTAAAATACAAATACGTTTAAAAAATGTTGTTGTAGTCTTCACAATACAGTTCTGTAACTGCAGACCAAGGAGAAACTATGCTCATATCCCCCTTCTTATAGTTGATATGTAAAGACAAGTGGAATTACTGGCTGACAGAGTGAATACGCTAAAAGATGACTGTAAAGATGAGTATTAATTTTATAATTATTTTAAAGATGAGTATATGTGCTTAGGAGGGTGCCGGTCAGCTCCAAGCCCATCGATGACGATGATGTAGACGTGGCCTGTGAGAGACAAAGAGTGCTGCGTGGAGACGCTGACAATGACATGCTGAAGATCAAGAACCTAACCAAGGTTAAACTTTACTTTGCTAACTTTTACACAACTACATATCTTAAACTATTCGTTCAGTTATGCCATTACTTTAAAATGATCCTACTCTGTTAAAGTGGTCATTACTATCAAAACATTGCTTGAACCTCAGGTATACAAATCCAGAAAGATGGGACGTATCCTTGCAGTGGACCGCCTGTGTCTGGGCGTCCGGCCCGGAGAGTGCTTTGGATTGCTCGGAGTGAATGGAGCTGGGAAAACCAGCACCTTTAAGATGCTGACAGGAGACGAGTGCACTACTGGAGGAGAGGCTTTCATTAACAGGAACAGGTTAGTGGCTGCAATAACAGAGTGCACTGTAAATGTTACTGTAGCATTCTTAGCAGATACTTTAACAGCAAATGACATCAGACATCAAATACATGGGCACTGACTATAGTCTGGGTTTGTACTGCTGAAGTGATGCCAAGTGTGTGTGTGTGTGTGTGTGTGTGTGTGCATGTGTGCAGTATCCTGAAGGACCTGTTACGTGTGCAACAAGGTATCGGCTACTGTCCACAGTTTGATGCTCTGTTTGATGACCTGACAGCCAGAGAGCATCTGCAGCTTTACACTCGCCTCCGTGGCATTCCTTGGAAAGACCAAGAAAGGGTTCGTCTCTCTCACACACACACACACACGCACGCACACACACACACACACACACACACACACACACTTTAGGTTTACTAACAGAAACTGTAATAAAATCGTAATAATAGAAAAAAAAGTATCAGAAGTGAGGATACGTCAGCATTTTGATCATGAGGATTTGGGCCAGTCCTCACTTTCTCAGTGGAAATGAAAATGAGGATAATGGCTCATATTCATGACCAAACTCATTCATAACCTTTCTGCACACAGTCAAAGTATCACTGGCTAACTTGGAAACATGGATATATTTCCTCGGACAGTCGCTGACCCACTGCTAAAGCCGTGGTGAATGTAAACTGGTTCTGATATAAAGCTTTTCTGCCTGAGCACCCAAAGCAGTTTCAACAACTTGCCCCGTTTACCCGTTTATACAAGCAGGCTGTGTAACATTCACACACATACAGCTGTGTTCAAAATAACAGCAGCGTGTTTGAAAACACGAGTAAAGCTCAAAATATAATAACGTTTTTATAACATTACAATACTGTAATGTTGTAACACTGCACATTATATTTTAGCATTCCTGCGAATCACTGAACTAATATTTAGTTGTATAACCACTGTTTTTGAGAACTGCTTCACATCGGTCCTGCATGGAGTCACCCAGCTTCTTCAGCCCAGGATGTTTGGACAACCTTCCACAATTCCTCTGCATTTCTTGGTTTTGCCTAAGAAGCAGCATTTTTGAATGTTTTGAATGTGTTTGGGGTCGTTGTCTTGCTGAAACACCCATTTGAAGGGCATCTCCTCTTCAGCATAAGGCAGCATGACCTCTTCAAGTGTTTTGATATAAGTTTAAAATATAAGATATAATATATATTATTTTAGTCTTATGTTTTCGTTTAGTCTTAGTTTAGTCTTATGCAGTGATCTTCTTCCTCTGACCTTTATTTCCCAATAACTTTTATGACTGCTGTTTTATACAACAGTTAGTTGTTTTAATTGTGTTATTTTTTATCAGACTCCACAGGACTCTGTGTAACTTTTTTGTAACTGTCTTGTAATTATCCACTTAACACAGCCAGCAAAACATGGAGACATGTTAACCTACAAGAACTTTTGCTGATTCTGCAGTTATTTAGTAAAAGACCAATACTTACAGTCAAGAGTCAGACAGAGAATACAAACTGAGGATCAAATATTGGAACAATTCAGCAAATGTTATGCAGTTCCACATTAAGGGGGATATCCTACCGTTGTCTCCTTCATCGCCTGAACAGCAGAATTTCAACATTCCTCTTCACCCCCTGCAGGTGGTGCAGTGGGCACTGGAAAAGCTGGAGCTGTCCAAGTATGCAGACAAACCAGCTGGCACTTACAGTGGAGGAAACAAACGCAAGCTCTCCACTGCCATTGCTCTCATCGGGTACCCATCACTCATCTTCCTGGTAAGAAGAAGAGATGCTCTCTGTGCTCATGGCAGCGTAACAAAGATCAGAGGGTCAACCCGCCGGTTTCTTCACCTTCTGTTTGAAGCTTTAGTTCGTTTTTGGAAGCATGTTTAACATCGAAATGGAGCCGTTAAAAGTACCTTTGACACAGTTTGTGATAGAAGTGCTTAAAAGCATAAAATGAAGGACGATGTGAATGTGTAAAGTTTCTAATCAGTAATCTGAGTGATCATTTATAAATATTTTTATAAAAACTTGATAGTATTGCATACATGTATACAAAGTATTACAAAAGTAGTGATAGTATTATATAAGTTAGTTACTCTGCGAGTTCTACTCGTGCCTTGGATTATATTTTAATGTCTGTGTGCAACACAGTAATCTTTTGATATAAACATCATATATGATCATTTTTAATGATTAAGTGTAACAAGACTAGTAAGACTGCAGTGAGTGTCCCTGAACAGCCTGTGGAGACAGCATCCACCAACATCCAGTTAGTCAGTGAGTAAAGTCCAAAGTTGTCCAACATTTCTACATCACACATGGCAGCCTATCAACGTCCCAGGCAGTAAGGTTCAGAGTCCATCGCTGTTTTAAACATCGCTGTGTTTGCTTGTGTTTAGGATGAGCCCACCACTGGGATGGACCCGAAGGCCCGCAGGTTCCTCTGGAACTTAATCCTGGACATAATCAAGACCGGACGTTCTGTAGTGCTGACGTCACACAGGTTATAAAGCTTAGTGCATGCATGTTCCTCTGGAAAACCTCCTGTTATACCATCTGTATTACAAATGCTTCACCAAAGTGTTTTCACCACATCTGCAGCATGGAGGAGTGCGAGGCCTTGTGCACCAGACTGGGCATTATGGTGAATGGCAGGTTTAAATGCCTGGGGAGCATCCAGCACCTGAAGAACAGGTCAGGACCTTCTCTAATCATAGTTACTCATAGTTATATAGTTATATCCTCAGGACCTGCAGCTCTGAGATTTGGCGCATCCAGAGGTTTGGTGTGTGACATCTCGAGGGTGCAGCAACACATCCAAGAGTCGTCGTCGTTAAAGATTCAGCTCTGCAGGAGAAACCAGTGGACACCTGAACAGCTGCATTCAGGGCAAACTGGGAGTCATGAATTTGTCCCACTGTTTATGTCTGGTTTCAATGTAAGAGTTTCTTTTTAAGGTGCAGTTTACTCTTTCCACAGCACTGCTCCGAGGATGTGTTCATTTGTCCATGTTTGGGACTCTGTCTGCAAGAGTGAGGAGACAAACTGGGTTTCATGACTTCCAGGAGGACAAATCATGGATCAGATAGGGGCCACTGTGTCAGAGCTTCTGATGCTACGATTAAGAGAATAATCCTACTTACCTGGAGTCGTGTCAACAAAGACACTTTGATCTTCTTGGGGGATGGACTCGTCACATACATCCCTAGCAGCCTTTGGAACCATCATTTGTTGGTGTTTGCCTGCTGGTTTCTGGTTTTGAAGTTTGTACAATCGAACACGTTACAGTTTTGCACATTCTCCTGAACATCCCAGCTCGGTTTTAGCCAGTAGACCATTTCTTCAATCGTCAGCAGGTTTGGTGTCTTCCCAGATGTCCAGGGCAAGGATTGTGGCTGGCTCATGGTCTTGTAGGGAAGCTTGAGAACACGATAGATAAGGCCCTGTTTGATGACATGGTGGGATTGATGTTATATCTCCTGTATCAGTGTTTTCTGATTCAGGGTGTGGCATTCTGGTTTTCTGCTCTGCCGTCCACCTCTATTGTAAGCTTCTGTGAGGGACCCTGTAGAGCAGCGGTCTCCAACCTTTTTTGCGCCACGGACCGGTTTATGGCCGACAATATTTTCATGGACCGGCCTTTAAGGTGTCGCAGATAAATACAACAAAATAAAACTAGTACCGGTACCAAAAAAAAAGAAGATTTATTCATAACACACGTGAAAAGACCCAGGAAAACCGAGTTAACAATAAAAACAATAACAAAATAACGCTGAAAACCGATAAAAACCCTGAAAACTATACATTTCACACCTGAGCCTCGCGGCCCGGTACCAAACAACTCACGGACCGGTACCGGTCCGAGGCCCGGGGGTTGGAGACCGCTGCTGTAGAGCACAGATGATGGTGGCACATTCTGACGTGGAGACACAAGCAGTGTCTGCTGAAAGAAAGCAGTACTCTGGTCACCCACCCACCACGCCCCCACTCCTTAAGTGTCTTAGCTTATCATCATCAAACCAATGCTTTCCTTCTGAAACATCCAGCTGTATACCAATGAATAATATGAAATCTAAACTCAGTAGAGCAGGAAATGCCGTTGTCTTTGAAACCAGCACCACCACAGGCACATGCCAGCTTTTACTCTAAAGAGGCATCTCTGTCTCCATCCAGCCCAGCAGCTAGCTCGGTGGTCTGTTAGACAAGTACATGAGGTGAGTTTGGCAGCTATATGTCGAACCAGTATCCACAACAGCATTTCCAGTCTATTTCACAGTTATGGAGACTTTTAACTGCCACAAGAGGGCAGTCATTTCCCCTGGGCTGTGGAACAGCTGATGTTGGACAGTAGAATGAGATGTAACGCTGGATGTGAGGGAGGAGTCAGGGATGAGATGAGGTGGAGTAAATCTGAGGACACTGTTCTCCTGTGATCTCATCTTTTTCCAGCTGTTTTTACAACCAGACCATGCTCATCCACCGCTCTGACTTATCATACTGTGAGGTCATTCATATCAGGTTTCTACCTTTGGTATAATGAACAGTACATATAAGCTTTCCTCCTCATCCTGCACTCTTGCCCTGTCTCCGCTAGTTCATCCTCACAGTGGAAAAACAGTCCTTAAAATCAGACGAGGTTTATGTGGCAGCTGCACCAGATCCTGCAGTCTGTTCTGTCAGGACATTGCATCATTTCTTTAGCTATCAGAGGATGCAAGGACAGAAAATCTTTACATTTGTCCAAATTTAGAAGCAGCTCTCCTTCATCATCCATACTCCCATAGAAACTGAAGCTTAATTGGGTATTTTCCAGGGGATCCCACAGGCAACTGCAAAAGACCACCCTTAACCTCAGGTCTCATAGTCAAAGGAGCTTGCAAAGAAAAGCGTCTGGACTTCTTTAAGTTGCTTGAAGACGTTTCACCTTCATCCGAGAAGCTTCTTCAGTTCTAAGGTCAAATGGTGGAGAGTCCCAGATTTAAACCCAGTGGGAGTTTCCCCCCACAGAGGGACAAAAGGACCCCCTGATGATCCTCTAATCGCCTGAGCCAAGGTGTGAAACTGGGTGTGGGTCACAATCAGCCAGAGTTTCAGGTGAGTTCATTGTGAAACCTGGCCCCACCTTATCATGTGATTTCCTGAGGTCAGATGGCCCAGGATGTGAGTGGGCGTTAAGGCGTCTGGGGAGGGAACTCAAAACTGGATTATAGATGGCAGAGAGTTGGTGTCGTAAACCACCGCCTCTGTTCAAAGATGGTCGCTCACAGTGGACATAGATGCTTCTTTCACTCCTCTTTCAAACCATCTGTCCTCTCTGTCCAAAATGTGAAACGTCTTCAAGCAACTTAAAGAAGTCCAGACGCTTTTCTTTGCAAGCTCCTTTGACTACGATGACCTGGATGACTGAGAACCTTCACAGACTCAGGTCTCGTAGTTGACTACAAATGTGCCAGCTGTCAAAGGGTGAGAGCCAGGGTGCACCCCAGACAGGTCGCCAGTCTGTCTGCCAGACCACCATTCACACCCATGAGCAATTTGGGATTCCCCATTAAGCTGTTCCCACTAACTGCATGTGTTTGGACTGTGGGAGGAAGCCAGAGGACCCAGAGAGAACCCAGCAAACACTGGGAGAACATGCAAAGTTCTTGCTGTGAGGCAACAGCGCTAATCACCACGGCACAGTGCTGCCCACATTCATGAGGTTAAAAAAGACAAAGGTATATTTAAAAAATCCTAATTAGAAAAAAGTTTACAGTCCTGGCTCAGTACTCATATAACTTATGTTGGGGCGCTTTTTTTAAAGAGTTGGAGAACTTTATGATGGTACCATTATGTCCTGACTTGGCACAGTCATGTTTCTCTTACCATGTTATAGGTTTGGAGATGGCTACATGATCACAGTGAGGACAAAGAGCAGCTCCAGCGTCAAAGAGGTGGTTCGATTTTTCAACAGAAACTTCCCCGAGGCTCTGCTGAAGGTACGTTACAGCGACTCTCCAGTGTCGTCATTTTACCCACAGAGCACCAACCTGACAGACGTAGCACCAGACTAAACCTCACCAACAGTTCAGTTGTGTTTTCATGATATAGTGTAAATTCACACCAACAGCTGCTTTATATTGTAGATCTAAAGAGAGAATAATACCACTGTTTAATAAATATAATAAAGAGCAAATATTACCTGAATAGTGTGGTTATATACCAGAACTGGTGGTAGATCTTTAGCATCGGCATAGAAACGATTCAAGAATGTAAAGTTTTGGTTTAATTAGAAGATCTGTATTGTTTCATTAAGCTACTTTGCCTGTGCTATATCACTGTAATAAAATCTCTGCATATAAAGTCTGACGATGTGGACATTCAGTACTTACCTGTCCATTCAACACGTGCAAGGAGCCTCCTACAACTGGTACAGCTGTTGACTGTCCCTAACTTTAGGTTGTAGTGGGGTGCATCTTTGGCTGGCTGTAGCTCAGGATGTAGATGATCAGAAGGTTGGTGGTTCAGTCCCTGGCTGCCCCAGTATGCATGCCTTCAGCAAGATACTAACCCTAAGTTGCTCGCCGATGCATCCATCCGAGTATGAATGTGTGTGAATGTTAGATAGTAAGCACTTAAAGAAGAAAGTGCTTGTGTGGATGTGGCATGTTGTATAGAGCGCTGTCAGTACTCAATGAGAGAAGAAAAGCTTTATATAAGAATCAGTCCATGTACCATTCAGCTGAAACAGGACAGGCATCCGGTCGTAGGCAGTTAAAGCTAGGCCAGTATCCTCAACACTAGGGCTGCCACGATTAGTCGACTATCAGAATCGTCGACGACTGATTTAATAGTCGACG